CGAAGCCGACATCTGGGCCCCGAAGCCTGTGCAGGCTCTGCGGTCGTCCCTGGGACTCCTTGTGGGCTGTGGGGCTGGCCACTCCCTGGCCCTCTGCCGGTTGCCGGCCCTCCCTGAGTTGGTCGCTGGCTCTTCCCTGGATGCCCCTGAGGACGCTGAAGATCAGGAAGCCATGGACAAAGAGAGAAGCCAGAAGGAAAGGCAACCAGAGACTTCTACCCAGACCCAGTCCGGCAGGTCCAGAAATGGGGGGCTTGTGACAGAGGCCCTTTAATAAAGCGACTTTTCCCACCCAACGTGTTCCCAGAGGATTGCTTGGTCAGGTTGTAGGGTTGGCCTGAGAAGGGCCCTGGAGGCACTATGGTTGGGCTGACCACAGGCCAGGATGATGGGAGGCCGCCTGGCCAGTGTCTGGGGTCCAAGGACACAGGCAGATGGGAACAAGAACCTTCATGAGGGCAATAACAAGAACCCAAGTTGGTTGCATGGCTGGGGAATCTGGTCTCTAAGCGACATTTAAACTAGAATCACCAAAGGACATGGAAGACAGGCTCCAGCCTGTCTTCACCTGGTGGGGACAGAAAACCCAGGCCCATCCCCTGTGGTTGTTATGGTCCAGCAGCCTTCGACTCTCAGGGCCCGGATGGTGTGAGGAGATGGAGGTACCCTGGTCAGGCAGGTGGGTACTCGGACGGGAAGGAGTTCTTGTCTTGGTGACTAGGTGCCGGGAGAAGGGAGAAGGGAGAAGGCTCTGGACAGGGGGCTGGAAGGAAGCGGCGATGAGTGAGTGGAAGAAGAGACAGGAATTCCGGGAAGACCTAACAGAGGAGACGCCTGGGACAGACAAGGGAATCTAGAACCAGTGAACTCTCAGAAGATCGGTGTCTTCATCCGAGCCAGGCAGGAGCCTGGATCTGGTCTGTATAATTTATAGCCAAGCTGTATAGTTTCAGATGAGGGATGGGCCACAGCATGGGAAGGGGAGGCTGACCCTAGCCCCTGACATCTGCCCCTCAGCCCTCCTTGCCTCTGCAGGAGGAAGGCGTCCAGGTAAAATGGGGACCAGGCCAGACCATAGGCCCCAGGCTTCCCCAGGTGGCAGCTGTGGCTTGGGGGGACATAGTGCCTCTCTGCCTTAGAAAATGGCTTTTCTGGGGGGACTGTGTGGCGGTGTCGCCAGCTAGCTAGCCCAGTCTGTGGCATGTTCCACACCACCTTCCCTCTGTGACTCAGGAGAGGATTGGCTCTGTGAGGGCTAGGCTTTAGGAAGTTACAAAACCCCAGGACATCAGAGGACCAGAGAGATGACCTCCTAGCCTAGTGGCCTTCAAAGTGCATTTGTTAGAGCCCTAGAAGTCTCCTGAGAACTCAGTGTCCACCTGGTGGGCCATGGGTGAAGGAAAGCCATGTGAACAGAGGTCCGGGTCCCCACCCTCCACCTTATTCACAGCAGCTTTATTTTCATCTATATTATGTACTGGACTTCACACAAGATTTCACTTGACAAGGGGTCCTTGAGAAAGTTTTGAAACCACTGGTCTTATCCAACATTTTCGTTTTTCATTTGGGAAAACAGAGGCCTATAAAGGGGAAGGGGCCACATATATCACTCCTGGCCCAGGGTCCTGATTAGGAGTTGACCCAACCAGAGCCTTGAGCCAGACCAGGGGGGCAGATGAGGGGCACCCCTGGGCCAGGAGTGGGTCGGCTCGGTGGAGTGGGGGTGGGGCAATCCTGAGCTCCCCGGGCCTGAACCTAGAGACCACCCATAGCCCTTGGCTGCCCTTGAACACCAGTGCATGGAGTCCTGCTCCCGATATCGTATCCTAGACACAGCACTGCGCTGGCCAGCAAAGCCCTTGGGTGCCCGCCTCCCAGAACCAGTAGAGGCTCGAACGGCCTCTAAGCACTTCTGCAATGAGAAGGACATCTCTGTGCACTCGGAGCTGCTCTTGCCAAGATTCCGATCTTGCCAAGATGGAGCAATGGATGGCCCAGAGATGACCCATACCGGAGCAAGCCCGCAGTTACTGCCGCCCCTCCCCCGCCCCGCCACAGTCCTACGGTTGAAATGATCGGCATCAGACACATAGGCCGGAAAGCAGCCCCACACAGCATAGTACCCAGGCCCATACTTCCCAGACGGGCTTACTGCTCACGGGGAGCCAGCACACTGTCTCCCGCAGCACGGGGCTCCCTCCCGCCTCCTTCAGCACCGGCTGGAAGAAGCCCCAGGTGCAAGTCTTCTGCTGAGCCCCGGTGCCTCTCCCGAGAAAGACGCATCCCAGGGCTCCTTCCCAGCCTGAAACGAGCAGGCTGTGTCAGCCCTGAGCCTCAGACTCTGGCTCAGAAGCTGATTCAGAGCCTTCTTGCAGGCCTCCGGCCCCCGCCATCTGCACGCGGTGCAGTGAATGGCTCCCGGCTCTAGACGACACCGCGGACGGCTCCGTCACCTCGGGTTCCTCCACTGTGCCTTCCCTACGGCAGCCGCCGGGCTTTCTGCAAGCCCGTCCACTGGGCCTGATGAGTGCCCGGAAACTCCGGGGGGTTGTCGACAGGGTTGCCCAGATGTTTTCCGGACCCTTTGATTCCTGTGGTCATTCTCAGACTTGGAGATGTCCACGCCCCTCATTCCAAATAGACCGGGGGCTCTTCGAGAGCAAGGGACCCGGTCTTGGTGGATTCTGGAACCCCTTCACCAAGGATGGGCCCTGATCCACGGAGGAAGTGCCCGGGAAGTGTTAACGAATGAACTGATGGTACACTCTTAGGGCCACCATGAGGTGGGGAGGCTGAATGAGGGGGTCACACCCCCTCCCACCCGCCTGTCGTCTGCTTGTCTCTTACACGTGGGTGAGGACTGTACCGTGCAGTCAGAGCTAGGTGATAGTGAAGGTCAGTATCCTCCGCCAGGTTAGCTAATGTGCCATGGGGGCCAGTGCGAGTAAATACCCACCCATTTTTAAAAATTCCTTTTTTTCTGATAGGCCAAGTAGATTGGACTTTGTATTCCTCCCGCATGAGAAGGAGGAAGGGAACAGAAGAGGGGCATGAGCCCCACTGTGTGCTCACAGGTCTTGGGCCTGGCGTCTGTGGAGACTGTGTATGGTCACCACATTCCAGGTGTGAGTGGGCTGTTCATACCCTCACCTGTCTGCCACATACTCTCCCTTCCGGGCCACAGGCACCCCCCCTTCCCTTGATACCCCCACCCTCTTGGTTCCAGTAGGCCGTCAGATCCAAACTAGATGAGGCTGTGCTTGCAAAGGTGAATCTGGGCCCTGGGCTCAGAGGAAAGTGCCCTTTCCCTGCCCCTGCCCTCCCCCCCCACCCCCACCCCCAGGCACCTGCTTCTTCCGAGGAAAGAGACTTAGTAATAGATGGGACTTAGGCATTAGCACATTAGGTGGGACACGGTGGGACGGACAGAGAGAGGGAGGGCAGATGTTCAAGCAGGAGAGCGAGGTGGCCAGACGTGGGTACGGAAGGCTCTGAGCAGCATGTAAAGTGGCCGCTTCCCTCATACCCACGGTGCTTCATGAAGGACGGCGGGAGGCCGGGTCCTGAGGGCCCTGGGATTTAGGACCAGACACGCTAGTGTTCCTATCAATTCCGGGTTCCAGTCCCAGGAAGGCCCCAGTTAGCTTGAGATGGCTTCACCTGCGCCCTGGAGTCAGCCCGCCTAGGTTAAAATCTTCCTTCATCTTTCATTGGCTGGGTGCCGTTGGGCCAGTTACTTAGCCTCTCTGCATCTGTCCTCTAGGCTCTAAAACGGGCCGGTGGAATTACTGTGGCCTGTCATTAGACCATGTTTCTCAGATGCCCCCCATGTGCAGACACTCGGTGTATGTTCATCTCTTTTCCCCATTAGCTACTATGTCCAGATGGCTTTGTGTTTAGTCCACTTGAGGCCACCAGAGGTGCTTCCTCCAGGCTGGGTCCCAGTAGAGTGAACATGATGTTCCCTGCGGCAGCTGAGGCTGCTTGGCTTTCACATCCCGATACTTGTGAACGGCTGTGACACACATAGTGTGACCTGGCAGTTCTTTGGCTGCATGGCCCCTTGGGCCTTACTGTACCCATTGCCCCACCAACCCTCCGCCCTTGGTTCCTGGGCCACACAGGCAAAGGCTCCAAGGGGACAAGGCACTGCTGGATGAGAATTCACACCCACCTTCAGCCTCCCCCCCACCCATCTGACGGCTGACTCAGGCCATGCTGGGGGCATCAAGGGAGCTGAAATCCAGGGAGAGTGACACCCACTTGTTTGTGGCCCTGGGAAGACCATTCTCTTCTGCGGACCTCACTTCCTCATCTATAAAATGCTCAGAGGCTGACGGCCATGACCGTTAGGGACTTTCCACCTGAACATTCCTGGATTCTCCAATGAATAAGAAAAGAATTGGAACCCAGTCCCTACTCTATCTCCCATGAGAAACCAAGTGAACAACCCGTGCAAATCAAGATCCCCAAGAGAGGGCTCCTCCCCTTCAAGATGCCTCCCGGCTGAGTGTGATGTGTGCAGTAACGTGGTCTGGCAAACTGGACGCAGCAGGGTGCAGCTGGGCAGGGCACCCAGACCTGTCAGTCAGCCCCCTGCCTCTGCCACCATCAGATTCAAGAACAGCCCTACAAGGGACGTGATGAAGGTCTGCACGGGGGCTGGGAGCTCTGACATGGCCAGATTCAAGGAGTCATCAATATGGCAGGACTCGCAGAGAAGTTTCCGTGTCAGCGAACCCCCTAGAGGCTGTGCTCCTTTTAGGGTCAAGTCTTGGTATGCCCCATCCCTTCTGAGAACTGTCTCCCTCCCCAGACCAAACTGGAAGAGCCTGTTTTTTCCCAGCAGGAGGATAGCCAGCACCTTGGCTAAGTCCTCGAGACCAGAGGTGCCAGGGTTCAGGCTTACCCCAGCTCAGCCCAGCCCAGCAGGCCTGATCACAGGCAGAACCGAATCGTGACACTGACCAGGGCAATAAAAATCCGAGAATCCGTGCTTCATCTCAAAAGTCAGCTTTTTATTATTGAGGGCCAGGGCCCAAGGAGGGGAGGGTGTTGAGCTAAAGCAGCATTGCTCTCTTTCCAGGAAATGTTGCGAGCTGCAGTGAAAGCTCGAGATGTTGCATTTTTTTTCAACTCAAGCATGTGTTTTTCAAAAATATCATCCTTCCCCACCCCCCACCCCACCACTAATTTTAGAATCAGATCAAAGCCAAGCTACTGTCCTCTGTTTCTGTTGGGAAAATACTATATTTATTCAAGATGCAGAAGTGGGTCTCTGCAAACCTCCAATTGCTTCAGGAAAACAAATCTGCTTTAGACTATACAGAAACCATAATACAAAATTTATTTCATGCTAGAATCGCTTTGCATAACATTGGGCATGCAGTTTTTTACTCTGAAGTACTAAATTGCATACAATGCCAGGTTGTGCCTTAATAAAGGTGGAGGAGGGCCGCCCCTCCCGTGGTCCTGATCTTTTGGTGCTCTAAAGTAACACTCGGAAGATCCGTACGGTGTGGATTATTTACTATGAACAACTTGTTATGAGAGCTGGTCACACTGGATCTACACACCAAGAAGATGATAGAATCAACCTAGACTAGCCGCTGTCAGGGGTCTTGGGGAGACGTCCGCTGGGTCACAAGCATGCCAGACAGAGGGAGGAAAGCAGCAGTGCGCGTTTCCACAATTCTATTTGGAGCAAAGTTCTCAGTTTCCGCGTGAGAGATGCGCTATGAAGGTGAGGTCAATATGACCGATGACTGACCGACTGCCCTTTTTGGAACCTTGACTCTCGAGCTCGTGTACAAAAAGGGAAGCCGTCCATTCCCCATCCCCATCCCCACCCCCACCCCCCGCTCCCAGAAACGTACAGGTTTCTACCAAACGCCATTACAGTCTGGCTCCAGCAACGTGTGTAAAAGTAAAGAGCTTTGAAAGAAAATAGAGGACTTTTGCTTTTTTTTTTTTCTTGTTGTTGTTGTTTAGGGTGATTGTTACAGTTGCAGGGGGTTGGTGGGTTTGGTTTGCTGGATTTTCTGTTTAACTTCATGCAAGTCATGCTAAGGAACCCCTCCTCCTCCCTCCCCGAATAAAATAAAATGTAAAAAAAAAAAAAAAAAAGAGAGAGAGAGAAAGAAAGAAAAGAAGGAAAAGAAATCCTCTACGGTCAGTTACCATTTGGCCGTAGAAAAAGCTACGTCCGTCCTAGTACAAGACCTGGGCCACTCGGACTCGTCCGGCAAACCTGCATGGCGTGAATTTACTCTGTCCGAGGGTGAGGAGGGGCTGCTGGTCCACCCAGATGCTTAATAGCCACCAGTGTCCTCGGCCAAGCCGCCTGGTCAAGTCACTCTCACAGCCTCTGTCGGCATATACTTAGCAATGACAGGGCTTTCTTTGCAAAGATCTGTATGTAAAGAATACAATTAACACTTGAGCTTCTCTTCTTGGCTTTCCCATCCCGCTTGGTACTTAGTTTTTAAGGAAGAAGGAGGAAAGACAGAACAGCCGCATGCAGAGGCAGGCAGAGTCTTCTCCAGCTGGCCTGGTGTTCCCATGCAGTGAGCCGGCCCAGCGCGCCTCTCTTTCTCCCTCCTGGGGACAGGGTTGAGTCCCTAACTTTCCTACTCTGCATGTGGCTGAGGCACTGCAATTCTCCTAAGAAAAGCAAGTCCTCAGCACTGTCATGACTCCATGAGAACAGGGCCGGGTGGATGGGGGCGGGGGCACTTCACCCCTGGTGCCTCCCAAAGACTCTGGCACCCCCGTCTCTGTGGGACTGGGCAGCAGGTCCCACCTGTGGACGGTGGCTGCCGCTGGGCTCCCTCGGCCACTACCGGGAGATGGGGCTTCTTCTGTCCCACTCTCCCTGGGCTTCTGGAAGCACAGTGAAGAGACTCTCCTGTCTGCTCTTTCAGGCCACCCAGATTGATCCAGCATTCAAGGTGAAGGAGACAGGCAGCCCTTGAGAACTTACCGGGCAGAGCAGAGCCACAGAGCCTCCCTGCTTTCCCCCTTCTTTCCCCTGGGCCACCCCTGCTCCTCGGATCCTAGAGCCTCCACCCAGGAGAAAGCCAGTTGCGAAGGGGAGCAACGGGCCTATCCATGGAAGGTGCCAAGGATGGGCCCGCCTCAGGCCCGCAGCCCTCCACCATGCAGCATCATGCGGGCAGCAGTGTATGCCACACCGGGGTCCGAGGGACCTCCAGGCAGGGCAAGGAAGCGGGGGCCAGCTTGGATCAGGTGGGCACACTAAGCACCAGTGACCAGAAGGACTTCCCCATCTCAGCGTAGGTGCCTCTCCTCTCCTGGGTTTGGGTTGGCCCTTTATTTTAAATTCTGTGTTTTCTCCTTGTGTATTGTTGAACCGCTTCAAATACTGGAGCAGTTGCGAATGGCCACAGGCTACACCAACTATTGCTCTAAAAAAAACAACTATGGCTCCAGCCCAACCTACTCACTCCGGTCAGCATGCATCCCATGTGAACACGTGAGGCACTCCCAGACATGCATGAGTTGCCCAGCCAGTCCGATTGGCCAAGGATGGCTTCCTCTACCTTCCAGGCCAATGCCCGAAGCCTGGAGCTAGGGTGCTCTGGGCCCCCCGCCTCAAGCTTCTCTCCAGCCCATGCTCAAGCTCTAGGAGAAGTCTTCGCCCCAGGGGGTCAGCCTCAGATAAGGGTCTGATACAAGGAGACCTTGAACAGAGGCCACCGTGGAGCTCAGCCTTCACCAACCACAAGGGGGTGCTAACCACACCCGGGGCCGTGACCAGGGATGCAAGGTGCTGCACAGAGTACTGCTTAACCTTCTCTCCGCGAGTTCTCTGCCACTAGCAATATTCTGACTAGCACACATCTTACCTCTGCAATGACACTGGCCTCACCCCCAAGCCCTGAGGCCACCTCTCTCCATGCCTCCCCTCCCACTGGCCTACAGATTCTCTTTAAAGGGTGCTTTTCCAGAACATGGATCTTGGGTGGCTAAGCCCACAGGGTCCTGGACAGGCCAGGCCCACCCTGTTGCTCTCTGCAACCAACGGACAGGGGACATCACTTTGCCCTCTTGGTCTCACCCGCCATCTGCCGGAGCAGCCTGGAGGAGTCAAGGCTCCCCTCACATCCCCAGGTGACCCCCTGCATGAGGGTCACAGACCCATAGTCATCCAGCCTGTCCCCGAACACCCCTTCCTACCCCTCAGCTCAGTTCCAGACCCAGCTGCTGGGACCTCAAGTTCTCTCTGCCAGCCTGACATCCCACTTGGGAGAAAGGGACTCAGACCTCCAGAGACCACCCCGGGGCGGGGGGCTCCTTCTGCTCTTTGCCCCCCTCAGCGTGCCTGCCTGCCCCTCAGCACCCCTCCCCCGCCACCCCACCCGCCCACCTACAGGAGCGCGAGGCGGCCCAGCTGATGCAGAGTGCCCCCGCCTCCCCTACATACCCTTTCTCATTCCTCCACCAGGTGGGCACGCGTACTCCCCGGTTGATAAGAGGAAGCAGGGTCCGTATCTCTCGCGGGTGCCCGAGCGAGTAAAGGGCAGGCCCTCATCAGGAGTGAGGGCCTGGTCTATGTGGGGGCAGTCTTCGTTCGCCAGCGCGGCCTTCGCCACCTCCCCATTCAGTTTGGAATCTTCAAACATATAAGCAGAAGCTATTGAGACACTGAAAACTGTTTAGTGGGGGAGGGGGACAGGCCAGAGGTGGGGCATTGGCAAAGGGCAGCCTGTCCCTGAGGACAGAAAAGCGAGTGGGCCGTGGAGGGAGGCTCGAGGCTACGGGTCCCCAGCTCATTCGGGCAGCCTGTGGGCTGCCCACAGTGCAGGGAAGGGGGGCTCCTGGGTTTGCTCAAAGTTTGCAAAAAGATGAGTTGGTGATGGGTCCAGCAAGCGCAGTGCTGGGGGCTGGGCCCAGGGCCCAAGGCAGGGCCGATGAGACAGGATGGTGTGGATGCGGTCATGGGTAGGGGGCCAGACACAGAGCTCAGGGAGAAGACAGACAGACACGCAGAAAAACTCCAATCCAGAGAGGTGGCCTTTTCAGACCTCTCTCTCTTGCTGACCAGAGCCTGGCTGCAGGCCATCCACATCTAGCTAGTTCCTCAAGGCTTCCCTAGCACTATCTAGACCCCATCTATCAACTCTACCCCCCACTGAGGGGTCCCACCTCATCACACACTTCACACTGTCCTCCACACATACCCTAGCTCATCGCTCATCCTGCCCCCCACCCATTTGGATTCAACCTGGTCACTCTGTATGCCCCACCCCCCACACAGACCAGGCCTGGTCACGCAGTCTCCTCTGTCCCCACACAGACTCACCCTGGTCGCTCTGTATGTCCCACCCCCCACACAGACTCACCCTGGTCACTCTGTATGCCCCGCCCCCCACACAGACTCACCCTGGTCACTCTGTATGTCCCGCCCCCACACAGACCAGGCCTGGTCACACAGTCCCCTCTGTCCCTACACAGACTCACCCTGGTCGCTCTGTATGCCCCGCCCCCCACACAGACCAGGCCTGGTCACTCTGTATGCCCCGCCCCCCACACAGACCAGGCCTGGTCACACAGTCTCCTCTGTCCCCACACAGACCCAACTCAACCATTCAATCTGCTCCATCCCCCACGCAGACTTAAGCTGGTCACTCAGTCAGCTCCGATCCCCCACACCAATCACGCCGGTGTCGGCCATCCCGTTCTGCCCGCAGCGGGCCTGGTCAGCTTGCAAAGGCACAACAGGGATGTATGCATGAGGCAGTGACAGCGGGCCATGATTCGGGAGGGCCTCCCATTTCTCTGCCTCCTCACAGCAGCGTCCCGGCAAAGCAGAGCAAATGGACGTGTAAAGACAACAGTGGCGGATGGACTTGGGCAGGTAAAGAGTCTTGGCGTCTGCGACAGCCTGAGAAGGAACCTGGGAAGAGGTATGAGGACACATCTGGTGGGGGGCAAAGTGCGGCCAGAGCAAGGAGCTCTCCCTCTCCCAAGTCCAGGAGCAGAGGTGTGCAAGCTTCTGGAGCTGGCAGAGGTAGCTCTGTCTGACCTCAGCTCCCGCCCAACACTCTTGGGGACTGAGCCTGCCCCCTGCTCTCTGCCCTCAAGGCAGAATCTTCCAGGCCAGGGTGGAGCAACTCAGTCCCCACGGTGGGCCCCGGGGGGATTCCTCAGAGACTTCATCTGGGGGGAGAGCCTCAGGGGAAAGCAACACCAACATGGGTGTGAACACGAGGGGGGGCTCTCCGAAAGACTAAAGAGGGGACCCTCCTCCATGACCCTGTTCACATCATGTAACTACACGCACGAGTGATCCTTCTCCACGTGCACACACTCAGCGTGCCCGTGGGTGGGATCACGGCCCGTGTACACATCATGTCACTACAAAGAGGCAGTCAGTCAAAAGAGAAATGGACCAATCAGGTTTATTCGTAAAGCAAATCCAAAAAAAAATCCCATCATAATTTTGGAACTTAAAAAAAAAGTCTGTCGTACAAGATGGCAAAGCATTTCACGTACAGTGCGTTTCTTGACAAATCCCAGGGGCTTCGCTCCCCGATTTATTCTGAACCAGAAAGGCCAGTTACCAAGGTAACTCTGACACCACGTGCCTGAGGCCTCTCTGGGGTCTGGGAGCTGCCTAGCACTTGGGGCGTGTCTGTGGGCACACACGTGTGCGCACAGACAAGGCCCGGCCTGCCTCCCATTCTGGCTGGCCCCTGTCTTCCCTCCCCGGGGAGGGGCTGAGGGAGGAAGGCAGCGGGGAGAGAGAAGGGAAGGAGTATCGGGGAGGTGAGAGTGGATGAGGATGCGGAGTTGGGGCTCCCAGTACCCTGCACACATTGTCCTCAAGAGGAAAACAGCGAGTCGTACCCAGCAGCCTCTCGATCTGGGAGGGGAGCCAGGGTTTGCTGTCTCCCTGTGGGCCATAGTCTGTCTGTCGGTGGAGGTATCTACAGCCGGTAGTTCTGGGGCTGGGTCAAAGGTGGGTGGCAGAGCCTGACAGCCCTCCTTTGGCTCTGAGTGCTGAGCCCCTGCCCACCGGCTCTGCCCCTTAGTGCCCTGCCCCTGGAGAATCGAGCTCCCTGGGCCTTTAAAGGGTCCCAAGTTGGGCTGGTTTTCCCTACAGGGGCTGGGGGCAGGGGCAGCCGTCAGGCATCCCAAGGTGGGTGTGAGCTGGACAAAGCCTCCAGGACACCCCTGGGGCATGCTGCTCCTCTCAACCACGGTGACCTTTGAGGGGAAGCTATGACTGGGTGGGTGTGTTCAGGTCTTGTTCTGTGAAGGAGCCAGGCTCCCTAGGCAGGTGGCTTATCTGCGGTTTGGGGTGCTCTCAGAAACTGGAAGCACTCTCGCTCCCCAACTCCAGAGGCGTGGCTGGAAGAGAGAGAAACCAAGGAGGGGCCAACTCTGTAAACCTGGGGAACCCGTGAAAGAGGCCAGAGGTGCCAGTGCACCCAAGCCTCCCTGCCCTCCTGCCCCCACCCTGTCCTCCCCCCGGGAGCCTTGGTTCCCACCCGCTCTCCAGAAGGCTGTGAGCCCTGCCGGCCCCTCGGCCGCCACTCGCCCCGCCGGCCTGCAATGATGAAATGACAGCATGGGCAGCGTCTCACGGAGATGGTTTCCAGGCTTTGAAATGGGCTGAGATAGATGAGCATCTGCAAGAGGGTCATTTTTTTTTAAACTTTGGAGCAAGGAGAACCCGGTGTCTGGGCCCTTGGCCAGCGCGGCTGGCTTTTCTGCCCTGCTCTCTGGGCAGCGCCGACGTACTTACTGTTCACACCAGCAGCGGGCGCCAGGGGGGCGGGGGGCGCACGCCGGACTGGGGCGGGGGCTGGTTTGCTGGGCATTTCCTTGGGTTTAGCCCCGAGGGGTCTGCCCAGTGGGGGGCTCAGGGAAAAAGTCCCAGGCTAAGTGGGGACAGTCTGTGAGAGACATGAGCAGAGTATAATCACGAGAACTGGCACAAGTCATGCAACAAAACGAGGAGAGAGAGAGAGAGAGACATGATTAGTGGAGAGAGAGAGAAAGAGAGAAAATGTGAACAACACAGAAAAGAACACCCATGCCTGGCCCTCAGAGCGGGTTCGCTTCCCTACTACTCCCCGCTCGGCCCGCCCGGGGGCCTCGAGGACCCCACTCCGGACCCCCCGCTGCCCACCCTGGCCCTCTATCCCGAACAACAACTCAGTCAGCCCGTGTGGAGGGCCCCTGCCCACACCCTGTCTGTCACCTCTGCCCACTCCTGTCACCCTCCCTGCCCCGCAGACTACCGCCACTCCCAGCAGCCACTGCGGCCTGGCCGGGGAAGGTGGAAGGCCAGGGCGGGGGGCGCTGCACACTCAGCTGCTCAGGGGAGACTCTCCCTTCAGAGATGACCCAGAGGCTGCAGCGGTGGCTCCTGAGGAGCCCAGGTAGCACTTCCCCTGGGACTTCACGGCTGCCCTCCGTGCCGGTGGGCAAAAAGTGGGCCTGGCCCCCAACCCTCCCCCATGCCAGCATCCTGCTCACCTATGGTGGGACCCCACAGCCCCAGACGCAGCACCACAGAGGACCAACCCATATCACAGGAGCAGAGATGGACAAGACACACACGTGGATGGACATGGCAGGACAGAGGGAGCAGTCCTAGCTGTCCAGAGCAGGTGGTCTAGGGCCCCGACTCTAGATGGGAGAGGGAGACCCTTTCTGGGAGACAAGCAGCTTCTCCTGGGCCATCAGCCCCAGGCAGCCCCTGACTATGTGGGGTGCCCTCCCGGCATCCCCCTGGGAGGCTCTACAACCCCCACAGGACAAATGCCCCAAACATGGAGGCCATGACAGCCATGGTACAGAGGAGGAGACCAGATCATCCCTCACAGACACACAGACCTGAGGCTTCAGGACAGACCAGGGGTGGAGGTGAGGGACAGTGTTTCTGACATGACTGAGAGGCCTTGCTTGAGTCCTGCGGGTCTGGCCCTGGGGGGTGTGGGGTAGGGGATACCCCAGAGCCCAGCAGGCTACAGCTAGCCCTAAACCAGATTCTAAAAGTGGAACTGGAAAACCCAGATTTTGTTGAGGCCACCTGACTGTCCTTGGGGGTGGAGCGAGGCTGGAAAGGCCTTGGGGGCTGTGTCTTACCTCTCTCAATTCTCGTAGGGTCAGATCTCCACCCACATTTGCCTTTCTCACCTCTGGCCTCCCCCGCAACTCACTCACAGACACCCCCATACCCATCTAGGTATGTGGCTGCAAGCAGAGAAGGAAGCAAATGGGAAGGGACTCCGTAATGCAGAGATGGAGGTCCCTTAAGGACCACACCCCTTGGTGCTAGATCATCTGGGTCTCACACACCAGCTTTTGGAAGGAGGAGTGTTCTGGTGAGAGAGGAGGCTCAGGGGGTCTGGGAGCCAAGGTGGACAGGTCTGAACGGCAGGACAGCACCTCCAGGGCAAGTATTTGGGAAGGGAGGGAGGGCAGAGTGTGGGGCTGGGGAGAGAAAGGCAGGAAGGTCTGGGCATCTGGGCTCCTGAGGGCAAGCTTGGGAGGCCCCCAAATCCCACCCCAGCCAGAGACTGCCCGAGCTCAGAGCTCTCTGGGTCCCTGCGATCTGGGGCCAGGGGACAGGAGGCTCCTGGGAGCAGGGCTGCCATGGCTGGGGGGCACAGGGCGTCCACCAGGAGTGAAAGGGCTTCGCAGGTCTGCTGCAGCATGGGAAGAGGGCTGTGTCTCTGGGACTAGCTGGTGTGCACGTCAGAACACACACGTCTGTACTTGGCATACGCGTGCACAGGCACGCGTGTGTGTATGTGCATGTGTGTGTGCCTGCGTGCGCACTTGCGCATGTGTGCATGTGTGTGCCCTCAGCACATGGAGAATACTGGCATTTTCTAGGAGTACAGAGGAATCTGTGCCTGACTGGAGTGAACTGGGGATCCTTGGTAGGCCGGCCTGGGCACCCAAGCTCGGGGCACTGATCCTGATAGATCCACTGTTGGAGAGGATGTAACAGAAGGGCCAAGTTGCGCCATGGTGATGTCACCCAGCTTTGAGCTCTTCCTGCTGGGGCCTGGAGTGAAGGTGGGGGCTAGGCCAGCCCAGACCCTCCCCAGAGCCCCAGGAACTTTCCTTGCCATGATGGTGGCTCCTGAGGTCAAACGTCCACCTAATCCAAAGCAGAGAGGTGGGGCGGGAGCTTTCCACTAGCGTGTGCCTCCCCTACTGAGCAGGAGCCATGCCTTGGCCAAGGGGCCCAGCCCTACTTCAGGCCCCCTGTTCCAGCCTCGGAGACCCTTGCCCACCCCCTGATCCAGCCCGGGACACTAACCACACTTTTCTTGAGTGCCTCCAGGAATCCAGGAAGCAGGGAGGGGTATGGGACCAGATGAAGGGGCAGGAGAGCTCCCACGGGTAGAGAAGTGGGTCTCGGGGGTACTGCGCTAGGCAGCACAGGTGTGGAAAGAAGCCAGATTGGGAGGAGGATGGGGTGGTGGGCACATCAACAGGAAAGAATCACTCATCCACTGGGTGAGGCCACCCAAACCGAGGGAACCTTGCTCATCCAGGGCTGAGCTAGCTTGCCAGACCTGGGCACGGGGACGTCCTCCACAGACTAAATGCTACCTGTCACTCACTCAGCCTCCCTCACCCCGGCACCTCTTAGTTCAGTGTTGCCATGCTTCTCTGGGTCATTCATTTCCTTGAAATCCCTGTGTCCACAGAATAAGTCGATGGTATTCCATGGGTAGAGGTAGACTATGGGCTTTATATCTTCGGACCAGAGCCCCGTGATCAACTTTATGTGCTATGTGCAGGTTCTCATAAAACTGAGATAGTCCCATAACAAACCACTAGCCATGGAATATGAGAATATATCCCACAGTGACTAGTATTGTTTCGTGGCCCCCCCTCCCCCCTCCCCCCAACTGAATTCACGGGAATGTGGCTGCACACTGGTCTGGATGTCGCCTACTGCTGCTGCAGTCCCTACTGCCAGACGTGGGGAGGACCCTCGGTGGGAGGCGGCTGCTCGTCTGTAGTGCTTTCGTCTGAGCTGCCCGGGGTGGTGGGCCCCTCTCGTCCTTTGTTCACCAGCCGCTTCCATCAGAAGGCCACCGGAAACTCCCACTCGACCATCAACCCAAACAGACAACGTGAAAGCTAGAGTCGCTCCAACAGGTTCCTAAAGATAAATGCTAAACTCGAGAGTGGTGGTAGAAGATGAGTTGGTTCGGCATGCTATGGGGTAAGTAAGCTTGTGACGGAGGGCTACAGGCGTCTCCTAGGACGCACCTGGAGCTAGGCAGCCGGAATCAGAGCAGGAGTTCTCCTCAGCTGTGGAGGCAGGCTCTGCTGGGGCTGAGAATCCTTGCTACTGCCTTTGCAGGGACCCTCCTGCCCGATCCCAGGCACCAGCTGTGCTCTCTGCACAGCCTGAAGGGAGCCGAGGAAAGACCAAATCGGAAGCTGTCTGGCATTTCCGAATGACACCCACCCCTGCCCTGCCCCGGCCCCAGGACAGTGGCCTGAGTCAGAGACTCACGCTTGCCTCCTGCCCACTGAGCAGCGGCCCCCTGGGCTCCTGCTAAGAGAGTCCTCAGCAACCTCGCGGGCCATGTCGTCTCTTCCGAACCTCATGAGACCAGCGCGCCAACCTCCTTACCCAGGGCCACCAGTGAGGTTCCTCCAGCAGGCTCTCGCCTTGTGAATTTGGCTGCCCAGCATCTCCCTGGGCCCCCAGGCTCCACACCTCGAGACTGAGTGCGGGGTCCCGGGTTGCCCACGGAACTAAGGGAGCAGTCTGACTGAATCTGGAATCATCGCTACGGGGGGCGGAGGTGAAAGGTCAGATCGACATGCCTCTAAGAGGTTTCCTACCTGCTCTGTTAATTTCTAAAATTTCTTCCTGGGCCAGCGGGCATGTGTCACTCTGAGTACTGTGGTGTGGAGAGTTTACGACAGATTTACAATAATTGGGAGATCCCAGCTGCGGTGGCCGTGGAATATGCTTCTTTTTTTTCTTTGGTAGTTTCTGCTTAGCCATGGCTAAGGAGTAATACATCCCAAAATTGTTCACGATGACGGGCACAGGCATGGCGATGGTGAGCACGCCCGCCAGCGCGCACAGCGCCCCCACCAGCATGCCGGACCACGTCTGCGGGTACATATCTCCGTAGCCCAGCGTCGTCATGGTGACCACGGCCCACCAGAAGCCGATGGGGATGTTCTTAAAGTGGGTGTGCTCACTGGCGCTGGGGTCATTGGGCTGGGCCCCTATCCTCTCGGCATAGTAGATCATGGTGGCGAAGATCAGGACGCCCAGGGCCAGGAAGATGATGAGCAGCAAGAACTCATTGGTGCTGGCACGGAGAGTGTGGCCCAGAACCCGCAGGCCCACAAAGTGGCGGGTCAGCTTGAAGATGCGCAGGATGCGCACGAAGCGGACAACGCGCAGGAAGCCCAGGACGTCCTTGGCGGCCTTAGAGGACAGGCCGCTTAGGCCCACCTCCAGGTAGAAGGGGAGGATGGCCACAAAGTCAATGATGTTGAGCGAGTTCTTGATGAACTCTACCTTGTTGGGGCAGAAGACGACACGCATGAGGAACTCGAAGGTGAACCAGACCACACAGACGCCCTCAATGTAGGTGAGGAAGGCCTCCGTCTCTGCTTCCCGGTAGTAGCGCACTTGCGTGCCGTTCCGAACATTCTCGATCTCTGTCTTGTTCACGATGGGGTTGAAGCGCTCGTGGGTCTCCAGGCAGAAGGTGGTGATGGAGACCAGGATGAAGAAGAGGGAGGCAAAGGCCACATACTGTGGAGGAGAAACACAGTGTCAGAGGGAGGCCCTCCCACCCAGAGCAAAGCAACCTGGGGTACCTTGGCGTTGGGTCCAGTCAGAGGCCAGGCCAGGGGAAGATGCCTGCTCAGCGTCCCCTCCAACATGTGCCAATCTGATGGGCCACCTTTCCCTCCTCAAAGCAGCGAGTTAGGAGGCTCAGGGAGGTAAGAAGTTGCAGCAGAGATTGCTTTATTTTCACAATTGCCTTTCCTTTCCTCCTGGATGCACAGCTCGACTCCATTTGCCAGGCTTCCTTGGGGGTTAGGTGGGGTCACGTGACTGAGTTCATGGCCAGTGGACAGTGCATGAAAGGGGAGTGTGCTAATGACAGGCCTGGCACTTAGAACTTATCTACTCAGTCTTCTAGGCCCTCTTCCCTCCCCCAGCTGCCAGTTACATGCTGACACCCTGGGGGCCACTAGGGCCCCCACAAGGATGTAGCCTCAGTCCCTGGAAAGGAAGATACCCAGTAAGTACCTGAGTGGGAAATCAACTACTGATGTGGTAAGTCGCTGTGATTTGGGGGTGACTTAGTAAAGCACTTAGCCTACTCTGAGTAATAAAAGTGACCTCGCCTGCTGAGGCTGAAGGTGGCAAAGGAATGAGAAGGGGCAACTCACCTCCCACCACCAGCTTGGAGGTGGGTTCCCCATTCTTGGAGGTACTGAAATAGAGGCTAAATGTTCATTTGTCGGGGATACTGTGTTGCAGGTTCAGCATCAGAAGGAGAATTGGACTGGGGGTCCTCAAAAGCACCCAAACCACAGGGTCTGCTTCTCTCCTGCCAGGTAGGGGAGTGGGTGGGAGGGAGGAAGGAGTTGCTGGAGGGCTGGGGCTTTCCAAATATATGTGGCTGCCTCCTCGTCTCAGACCCCATCAGTGAGAAGGAAATGGCGGGGATGACCCAGCCTGTCCAGAACCACCTGAGCCCCTGGAGAAAGGTTCAAGGAGCTCCTTTGGTTTGGTTTGGTGGCCCCATCTGATGACCCTGGGCTTCTCTAGCTCCCAGCAGACCTCAGTACCTGAGGAAAGAGAACTGAGCAGCTATCTGTCCTGCTAGACTAAATTCCAGGCAAGGCCTCTTCTTACAGCCTCCAGTTGGGTCCCCCAGAGCTCTAGAAGAACCCCAGCCAGTCAGTTCTCCTCCAGGAGTCCAGTTGGTCATCCCTGCTTGCATGTTCCCACAGATCCCCCCGCCTCTGGGGCCCCTTCTCCCAGGCTGTGCCAGACAGACAATGTCCGGAGCAAGGCCATCTTCTGGAAGCAGCCCCAGGCTACAGTCAGGATTGGGTGGCCCCTGTGTTCTCCAGAGCTGCCCTCAGGAAGAACTTCAAGGAGGGCCAAGGCCCTGCCCTGTATCCACAACAGGAGGCAACCGTGCTGCTTTTAGCAACTCTGCAGTCTGCACAGAGGCATCCCCCACCCCTTGTGGTGGCAGTCGGTGTGGGGGCAGCATTGGAAGTCCAAGAACAGCCCTGCCTGGGTTGACCATAGCCGCGGGACCTGGCACCTAACCTGGCATGGATCTAGAAACCAAGAACTATGTGGACCTTTCAAGGAACATTCCGGGTTGGGGGAAGGGGAGAGAAAAGGGGAAGGGACAAAGACAGCGTTTTAGAATGTCAGAGTAAGAGAAGCCTTTAGACATTATCTGGTGCAAGACACTACATGCTACCGACGGGAAGCCTGAGGCCCCCACACAGGAACAAGTCTCCCTGCATTATGCTATGCTCACAGGCACTGTACGCTGTTCAGAGATTTTCTCCTAGACTACTGTCAAGTATGATCCCTGTGCCTCCTTCCTTCCATCCACTGATCACTCATTGATCCCTCCTTCTCCCCTTTCTCCCTTCCTCCCATCCTCCCTTCCATCCTCATATTCATTACCCCCTCTTCCCTCCTCCCTCCCTCCACTCCTTCCTTTCTCCGTTCCTCCCTCCCTCCCCCTTCCCATCCACCATGCATGCATTCATTCCTCCCTTCCCTCTTCTCTTGTCCTTCCCTCCTTCCTCCCTCCCTTCCTTCTTCCCTTTCTTCCTTCCACCTGCCTGCTCATCCGTCCATCCATCCATCCGTCCATCCATCCATCCAACCTTCCATCCTTTCTTCCTTCCACTCTTTACAGCCACCAGGTTACGGCCAGCAGAGTGGAGTAAAGCCTCAGCCTTGAGGAGCTCCCTGCCCCGCTGCGGGTGAAGGACACACACAAGGACAAGTCCAATGCAGTGGACTGAAAAGAGAAGCTCCCTCAGCCCTGTGAAGTGGGTGGGGTTTGGACAAGGTGGGGCAGGGTAGGGACTAAGCCAGGTCTTCCAACTCCAGAAACAGCGCTCCAAGGGTCCAGACAGCGCGGACCTGGGTCACCCCAGAAGTGGAGCAGGAAAGCAAAGTGGACGCAACCATGAGGGGCCACCACCTCTGACCCACGTTTATCCAGCTCCAGAGCTCCTTCCATCCCCAGAGTGGCCAGAGCTCCTGGAGCTAAAAACATTCCAAAATGCTGGGTCTTTGCCTCCAGGTTTCCTCTGGAGGGCCCCGTCTTAGGGCTTGGCATTCACCGGATCCCAAAGGGCAGGTCCTGCCCCTGCTCTGGACTTTGTGAAAGAGGAGAAGAACATGCACAGCATAAGTGTCCGAGGAATGCCGAGAGAGGAATGCATCCCTGGGCTCCCCATCCTGGCCAATGGCAGGAGGCATGAGGCACCTCCCCTCCTCACCGCCCCATCAGCCATGGCATCCCCCTCCTAAACCCTCCCCCCTCTATCCTTCTCTGTCCCCTCTGTTCACACGTGACCCTCTCTCAATAGGACCACTGCCATCAAAGCTAGCAGGCTTCAGGCTTAGAGTCTCAGCTGCCAGTCCAGTCTCCATACAGCTACCAGAAGGAGCAACCCATTGGCGTCCCAGCTCTCTGCCCAGGGCCCCTGACCACACTGCCCACAGAGACACAGGAGCCGCTCCGTGCCTGGCTTCCCTGACTTCCGAGGGCTCTCTCCCTACCCGCACCCAACATTCTTGCCACATGCAACTCTCGGCCATTTCTGACCCCCCTCTCCCTGTCTCCCCCCCATCTCCGTGTCTTTGTACCTCTGGAAAAACCCATTCATCCCTCAGGACCCCACTAAGTAGCCCAACTCCTGGGACCCTCTCTCCAGGTGAGGCTCCTCTTGGAGCTGAGGCCCTAACGAGGCAGCAAATGAAGGGACCCCCCAAGAAGTCTCTAAATTCACCCCCAAGGAGGCAGCAAGCCTGTCTCCAACGCCGGATCATTAGCGCTTCGGGAGGCTCATGGGAACAGCCCCGACAGGGCACTGATGTCCCAGGTGCCCCCACAGGCCCGCAGAGCTCTTACCCCACCTGCCCCTCTCACAGGCCAGTTCTGATAGGAAAACTGAGGCCCTGAAAGAGGGCAGCTCTTATACAATTAGGGTAGGAAAAGGTATTAGTTCTCAGCAATCAATGGAACACCCTGTCTGGGCCCCAGTGCCCAGGGAGTTGGCAGCGGGGGATGGGGGTGGGTGGGGGAGTGGGGGTGTGGCAGCCGCAGCCCAGCCCAGAGCCAGGCACTAGGACTCCTTTCCTGGGAGGAGGCGAGGGTAAGTGGAAGCCTGGTGGGCTGCCCTGCCTCAGCTCCCCAGGCACCTGCTGGCTTTGCCTTTGCTGCCAGTAGGCCTGGTCCTCGGTCATAGGCTGGGCCCCGGCAACATCCGGGCCCTGAGGAAGGCTCCTAGGAGGGCTGCGGAGGCAGGAGCCCCTGGCTTGCTCAGACTGCCACATTCTCCCATGCCCAGAGACCAGCAGGCCTGCCAAAACAAGAGCTCACCTCCAGCTGAGTCTCAGCTCCCTTTGGTCCATCCGCAGGGAAGCTGAGCTCAGGAAGGAGAAAGCAGTAAGCTACCAAAGCTAAGGACCCACTCTGCACCTTTAGGCCTCTCACTGACCTAGTGAGACAGTGGTCCTACCCTATTGTGCCAAAAAGGAAACCCAGGTACACAGAGGTCAGGGAGTAAACCAAGGGTTCAGAGCTAGTGATGAAGCTGAGGCTTGGACCCAAGTTCATCTAGCTCTAGAACTTAAAATCTTTCCACCAGCAGAGCTGCCAAAGCAACTGGGTAGTTGGCCCTGCGTCTCAGAGCTTGGCACCACAGCTCAGACTCCCTGAGGGCAGGTTATGCCCACTCCCAGTCAGGGAGAGAACTGGGGTGCCTGACCACCCAGGCTAGAGCCCAGCCATGCCTGAATTGTTCTTGGGCCAGCCCAGCTGCCCAGGACTTGCTAGCTCCCAGGGTAACAGCAGCCCAGGGGCGGGGAGGATGCCCTCACCTTACTCAGGGAATCACTGCCGAAAGCAGCCTTGGATGGGCTGGCCTGTGTCCCCACCTGGCCACCTCCTCACAGACCCAGAGAAGGGCAGGCTGGGAGATGACCCCCAACTTGTTCAAGGAGCTCGGCTAGGGGGACTGGGGAAGTGCATGGGGATGGGGCATTCCTGGGGTTGGCCGAGCCCTGGCAGGGAGCGACATTGGGAGCCACGTCTGCAGGATTCCTGGGCTGACTCTCCCATGACTGGAGGGGCTGTAGGGCCCACATGAGCTGTCTGCCTCCCAATCCTCCGTCACCCAGAGACCATGGACACACACAGCTACCCAGAGTACACACCCCTTACCTAAGCGCATATGCTGTGCGAGCAGCCCCACACACTACAGCCCAGGGTCCTGACCACACATCCAGAGATGACACAGGGGCCATGGATTGTATGGAAACACGCACACGCAGGTGCACACCCCTGCAGTCCTCGTGCATGCACACCCAGAGCTCGCGGATGACGCGGCAGCCATCACCGCATAGCACACTCACTATGGATACAACAGAACCCAGGCACGGCCACCCAGCTAGCCCCTCTTCTGCCCACCTCACCCCTGCAGGTGAGCCCGCCTCCCTCTGCCTCCTTGGCCTTCCCCAACACCCTCAGC